CAATCTGGTTATGTGGGCCAGCCAATTTTGACATGCTTAGTGACAGCTAATTACCTCCGATAATTACACATGAATGGATAAAACAGGTGAAAGTTTTCAATCAATTGGAAAATGTCTGGGACCGATTGGGAAGTCATCGTTTCAGAGGGGTTTGGTACGCAGAGGAATACCAGGCTTAGTCAAAGATTCAGCAATGGCAGGGGATGCTCTAGACACTGGACATAAGATAGATTTAGAAAATGTGGACATCCTGAGACGGGGTTTAAGATTCACACCACAGCGACTGCTGGCGGTGGAAATCGCCAAGCATCTGAGTGTGAATAAAATAGAGGGGGTAGAACTTGCAGACGTGTGGAGAGCGCTCATAGCTCAGCCAAGATAACACGAGGCGGTGTGCAATTATCAGCGAAATCGCCTGGGTCTAAAAGTACAAAATCCAAGTAGAGTTAGATCCAATTAACCACCGCACCCCCATCCCCAAACCATTGTCCCAGCACCCTTGGACGAACACAGGCGAACGAAATCTGTGGACGACCCCAAGAGGAATTTTCCATTAAGGTGTCCTAGACTGAAAAAGCAGGGACGTAAAATTCCGAGTTCATCATAAAGACGAATCCCCTCCTAACCGATCTATCGTAAATCTTGGTCATCCCCACTAGTCAACAAACAGGAACCTCAGACTGCACATCCAGCACTGATCACGTCACTAGTCATAAGGAATCTCACGGATTGGTTCCCCGACTGTCTTAAAACCCAATCAACCTACTTACTTACTCACTTGACCTGACGAAGCTTTTGTGTCAAAAGCGAAACGTTTACCAGTAATAAATGCACCGATTATTTACCAAACCCCTCTGAAAAGGTGAAAGTTTTTTTATCATAAGTACACATCAAGTGTGTTAATTAGTTCATTTGCGAAGGCAATCCGATTAATTAAAGTCTCCTTTTTGTGTCAAGTTGACACATGCCTTAATTGTTCCTCAAGGAATTCAAGTAACTTAAACGTGGACTGGGCCATTCAACATAATCTGGCTCCTACTATACCATGCCTGTCCTGAGGGGCTGGTGTATGTTGAACCGATTTCGACCCTTAAAACATAACTGTATAGAAAACGTAGATAACTGGGTTTTTAAATTCTGCTCCCAAGAAACACGTCCAATTATCACCACCAGCTGTAAGAACCACGTCTTGGCCGTACAGTGGTTAAAGCTGCCACAGTTTCGTCCACCGATTATTTAGAGAGATTACTTAGATAACTGATATAACTGATGCCTAAATACGGGGATCCCAGTAGAGTTTCATCTGGGGAGATTGGAAGAGGAGCTATCCATTGAAGGCAGTAGGTGGCCAAAGTCGGCGTTAAGGAATAGCTTGGTGCACAAATTGGGGAAATACCATGTGGCGAGGTGACAGGGCAGAAACTATACATATCGATCGGTTTACTTGTGAGGGTATTCGGGGCACGTAAAGGGCACGTGTCCTGTGTCAGGTTGTCCGAGTTAAACCGATGGGTTCGACGAACAGTCTGCGTGCTCAGCAGCTAGGTTAGGGGGATGATGACAACGGCCTCATCCACCAGTTGACGACAAATGCCTGATAACTGGCAGTGACTCGAGACTCGGTGAATTAATCGGGAAGCTTCGCTGATGTTTACTGGTGGCTAAACTGACCTGAATGAATTATGGTAGCGATGATCCACTGCTTATAAAAGGTCCTTGGTATTTGCGAGCACATCCAGTTAGGCGCCTGGTCATCTTCGAACATCACTCACTTCACGGAAACGCGTGAACTGGTATGCACAGAAGAAAGCGCTTGATATCGACAAAAACCTACACTTTTGTCGTTGAAAAGCAAATGACTTCGAGGTAAAACTGGTGTGATAAGTGCCCTGCACGACCTCTGTTAAACAGTGATTAACTAATCTTGCAGTGAAGTTTATGGTAACCGGCGTGAGTTTCGTAGGCCTGTTACTCTATGAAGGTAACCTCTCTGAACACATAGTTTAGCGAGAAATGGTTGTTCTCCTTGAATGATATCTTCATCACAGAGCTTTCTAGCTCTGTTGGCCAGGAACTGCACAGTACTACGTCACTGTTTGAGTGGAACGAAGTGTGTGCTGACCAATACATACAATGTCACTGCCTTGCCTTCACTGGTGTTGTTTGCTAATAACCGAAACAAGCAATAAAGTGAGGCACTGATCCTTCCAGCATGAATGCCATAGTTAGGTGCGTGACACTGAGGCTATCGAGAATCTCACCCTCTTTCTGGCTACATTCCATCACACAAAAATTACAATCCTGTGACAAGCGCGTCAAGCTTGTGATTAGGTTCCTGTAGCAAGTTTTTCAACCTACACACTGAACATTCCCGTGAGTGACAGACCTAATGGTGAGCCGTTTCCCTGGCGGTGAATGTCAAAGTTGAACTGATTCTGCACATTCCACACGCAAGTCAGAAGTGAATTTCGTAGATTTTCAATGTAAAGCCCTACGCTTATCTAACTGTCTCGTGAGCATTCACTCAACTGTTTTTTATAGAGGGACATTTGTGAAAACTGAGACAACGCCAGGGACCACATTTTTTCGCTGGCAAGATTGAAACATCTGATGACGGTTATCAAGTGAATAATTTGAAGTAGTGTGCATGGAAGTAATAGTTTTCATACTGCTTTGCCTGGGAAAGACAGGTACCGGAAGGCTACTTGTTATCCTTCTGTGGGTGGACTTTATGTTGCAACCTTATAAAAGGTTGAGAAATCTGCTCAATATAATGTCAGGTTCACGTATTGACTGAACAGCAATGGGCTTCGGCATTTTACATGTAGAAAGAGAGGTGATTGGACGCCCCAGATATTCCGCCACATGTCCAGGCTTTAAAGTGATGTATCAGTATGTTACTGTTCCTCAAAATAGCTCATTTTACAGATGAAGAGTGATTAGAAACAGATAAATAACCCTACGAAACGAGCCGACAATTTGTTGCATATTTTTTCAAGTGGAGTTTCCATTGGTTGATTAATCAATATGCCTGGCTTGGATAAACCTCAAACGGTCACTAATTTGGAGAACCATCAACTGTTTTCCATATTGAACGCGCATCGATTTGCACCTCTGCATCAGCTCTAACAGTGATATGCATCGACCAATCATATTGTTCGTTCACTGTTAATCAACGCTTGACTGATTCATGTTCACTCAGCCGAATGGCCCACAGACACTTGTCAAGATTAATTGAGCTGTGATGTTTCAAACGTCGATACCAACTCGAGTACACTTTCTCAAGCAAGTACATAGTTAGCAAAACAAAGTCACTCTAGATCTTAGCCACTTTCTTTTTTTACTTGTCAGCATTTTTAGTAGTGAATCTGATCAAAACGAACCCTTAAATTAACCGGACACTGTATTTACTCTCACCCGGTGTGAATGCAGTTAACCATGGCATTTCGCATGATTTACAAAAAATTCGAAGACAAAATTTGGATGCTGAGGAAGTTTTTCATAACAATAAGAAAATCTTACATTTGCGTGCTAATAATACAAAGTTCGTGTTATCCTGATGTGATAAGAAGAAAGAGAGTATTGTGGAGTGTTGTACAACGGCTCAGCTAAAAGATGTGGACTGCATTTCGTCATGTAACGAAGCCTTTCCACAAAATCAGAATGCTTCCCCAGCAGAAAGAATGTTCTGATTACCGTCTTTCTCTGGAATCCTCGTGGCGGCTCCCTGGATCAAGCACCATTCCAGAAGACGTCATTTTATTGGTCATTTTTGCAAACCGTGAGCACTTACTCTGAAACGATGGTTGGGTACACGGTTAAAATAAAAAGAATTTGATAAGTAAGTCATCAGTTGCAAAGTGGTGCCTTGATCTTGGTTAGCAACACGCACTATACACGGCGAGGTCGAAAGAACTCACTACGATAACATACTCGATTTAGACGCAGCATGCACATGTGGCGGGTCGGTCAATGTATGATTGAGCAAACATGGACGAGTGGTTCCGATGTCGGGAGTGGACAGTATTGGTAATGTGAAATTTAGGAAATTACAAATTGGGATTTCGTCCTGTAGGTGAAGCAAATCTGTGTCAAACAGCCGAGCAACGCCATACAGCTGTTTCATCCTCATTGGGACTCATAGGCATTGCACATCTCACGAAACTAACCAATCATCGCCGTGGAATTAGTTTAAACAACAACTGCTCGGCTACAATTGGTCGATACCTCACTTCGCCACAGTCCGTGGAGTGTTTCTGGAATAGAAGGGGTGATCTGGTGTTTCCCAAAGGGTAGTTGCAGCCAACAAAAATCGTCTTACTGTTTCTCGTTTTCTAAAGTCTACATTTTCGCACATCTTTTCACATCCTTAAACAAGGTTCTTACCAAACATGATGACGTTTCTGAAGTAATTTTACAAGGATAATAAGACATTGTCAGCCTGGAAACTGGTGGTGAGTGTGATTCAGTTTTTTTATTTTCCTCATTGTTCTTTTTGTGCTCTCAATTATGGCCTGGTTATTCGTGACTACTTCGCTGTCATGTCTAAAATATGTTACGATATCCTAGAGATATTCGTGGGAGTTTTCATCCTCACAAATTCTTTATTACAGCATACGCTTTTCGGTATTTCCCGAATTTTTGGCTGATCCACACGAATGACACATGAGTAGACCAGTGAACAGGAGTTTCACTCTTATCAGAGCCCAAGAAAAGTTCATATTTTCGGCCAAATCGGGACTTAAACGCTATTGTTTCAAATTCATCGCTGCTTGGACTAGGATAGCAGGGAACATGAGGGGTACAAAAGTCTTCTATTTATTCAGATAAGATCAGCAACCCGGACTGACATCACCACCGATGTTTGTCTACTGTGTGTTAGATACTAGACGTTTACAAGAAAACACTTTAAAGCAAGGAACATATTATTGTTAATTTAAGGGTTTTACTACTGGATCATATGCACTTGTGACCCAATCAACGATAACAGCACTTATATCATGTTGCATTCTTTTTATTTGCGCAGAGAACCCAATTGTGTGAAACACTCGGTCAGTTCGTTTTTGTCGACCAGACATCAGGTGAACATGTCCTCGCCTAGGACTAAATCTGAAGAATATTTGGAAAAGGTATCCGTTCCGGATGGAACAGAAAAGGTGATAAATATTAAAAAGGTGCAGCAATCTGCAAGCATACAACTGAGCAAAACGACACCGTTGTCCGTCCACACTGGATACGCTTCGAATATGAGGACATCAGAATTGCACGTGGAAGAGATGAAGTCTCAGGTACGGCGAAGATCCAAATCCAGTGGACAAAAGAAATCTGGACGGGATCACTCGAGACGATCACAGTTGATAGTTCGGACCGGGGATGGCGCTTCTGGCAGTCGGAGACGTGTGGTAAGTTGTGTAGATCTTACCGCACCTGAACCCGCTGAAACTCACCTAGTTCATGCCATAACTGGTGAAGAGGAGTCTACTCTAACCGGTGGAACACATCGAGCGGCAAAATCTATCCGAAAAATTCGTGGACGACATCGTGACGAATGGCTTTCTTCGAAAGCCGAAGAAGTTCCTCAGTCTGGATGGCGTTATAGTGGGATTTTTGCCCCTGACACTGGAAGGCATCGCCCGAGCAGTCGAACTAAACATAGTCGAAATTCGAGGGCTCAAATTTCAGCCCAGGCGTCCCCGACACCTGCTGCATGGAGCCCAATGAACTATATGTCACCAGCTTGCCCACGTTGTTCTTCACTCAACGTAAATCAGGAGAGGACTAATCCCTACCCGATTCCGGTGATGAACGGAATCTACTTACCTTATGCACCCTATTCGGTAGAAAATTTCCCCAGTCAGATGAGATCGGGGTCGGTTCAACAACATCATCATCACTCTCACGTTCGGCATCAGCAACAAGAACAGTTTTATGAGTCACCACTTCAGCACAGTCCACAGTTCCACCACCACCATCATCACCATCACCGTCCTCAGCACTCTCCTCCATATCCGTCGCCGTATGGAACAAAGTACATGCCCATACCTCAGGGTCGACCAGTTGGCTTCAGTCCAAACGTCGAAGACCTAAGACACGCGGAGGTAAACGGTACCGATCGAACCGTAGATCTCATGGAAATTGAATACGCTGCAGATAGCGCAGGTGAAAAGGACACATATCTATCCTCGGATGCTTTGAATTTGATTGTCAAGTTGGCCAAAAGCTTCAACAAAAGTACACAGCGCTTGGAAGAGATCGCGAAGCAGTTGAAATTAGCTTTAGATGCGAGACTGGGCGAAAAGTGGCATGTGGTGATTGGAGACGATTCATTCGGTTCCAACTTGGCCAGCCTCCCGGGGGCACTCGCTAATTTCAAACTGGGAAGAAACGTCTTCCTTGTTTGGCAAACATAAAAGGGAATCGGGACGGGAGGGCAACGAATGATTCCCAGCACACTGACGAGACAAAAGTTGTTTGTCTCAAACTTGGTCAATTTTTTTAACACGAACTCCTATACTATTCGCTTACATTTTCAAATGTGCGTTTCGAATTTTCCTGAAATTATTTCGCCATATTCTGATGGATTGTGTCCACACGAATAGTTCCAAAATGATCTGTATCATTTGTGATTAGTCAAAGACGTATTTATCGAGTTTCGGGGCAAGAGCCCTATCGATTATATCTTGTGCTATTTTATCAGCAGCTTCAGACCAATGCTAATCATGACAATATAGAGTGTTTTCCTTCCATCCAGTGAGTGGAGCTACTAACAACGTATCGGTTCATTTATTCCAGTGGGCGAAGAATTAATTCGTTGTACATGATTGAATTTCTCTGGAGCGGATTGTGTGTTACATATTACTTAAGGACCCTGAGCAAGCTGGTCCATCTCAAAGAGCCGAATGGTAGATGAAGAATGCTGCTATATCAGAGCAGAATGTGAATTATTTACTCTGGTGTTTTTTTCCTTTAATAACTTTATATCGAAATATAGGATCTTTCAGAAAGTTCTTCAGATGCCTGGATGTAGGGTTTTCACTTGGAGCAGTCAATGTTCAACTGCTGACGTGAATATATGTGCACGACACGGGACTTCTTCACGCATCTGCACTTGATATTGAGTCATTTTTAGATTCCCGATGAGAAATTTTAAAATTCATGTTTGCTTCTGCAAAAACGTCGAAGCCATTGAACACAGACAAAGCATGGATCAACCGTAGAACTCACCACCTTCAAACCATCAAATTACAGTCGGTTAGATCGCAAAGCAGCTGGGAAATGAATTAAAGTTGTGGCATAGCAACACTAGTGAGCAATATTGGTGTTCGATTTATACACCGATTTGTAAAACAGTTTGATGTTGATGTTAGACTCGCCTGGAACCCAGCTGAATAAATCGTTCGTGTTGTTTCTCTTCAACTGAAGTTACTACAACAAGTCGCCTCGTGTTCCGGTTAATACAACATTTGAGATGTTACCGTACATTGTAAGGGCTTAACACACTACCCATAAGGTTGCTGAATACTCCTCGATAGCCTACGACAAGCGTCATCTTTCTTGGAGCAGATTGGGTGAGTATAGACCCAAAGTCTCCCTGAATTGAGAGGGAGTCTCCAGAGCAGCTTGTTCATTGAGAACATCTGAGGCAGGTGCATTTTTTAGCGGATCTCACGTTAGGGACAAGAGCCATGCTGGGATCTTCCAGAGATTGGCTTGTTTGAGTAATTTTAAGCTTTGCAATGTACTGTACTTGTAGTACAAGTATAGTACATCATCATCGGATTGGTAACGTCCGTAGTCACTCTTAACAGTCAATGCCACAGTCGCTGTGACCATACTAGCCCAAAGTAAAGGGCTTCTAGCTAAGTTCGGCGCATCAAGCATCTGACTGGTCTGACCATAACTGACTATTGATCAGACTAAACAGGGGCGCTACATGCTGATTTCAGCTGCAGACGTTCCCTCTTGAGCAATCAAATGACATTCTTGTAACGACCATATTTGGTATCTTTTCCTTTATGGTAATACTGATTACTCCACTCCTGAAGAAGGTGAACCACGGTAGTGGTAACATCTAGTATTGGACTTCGGCAGTTGAAAGTTGTTATGCCATACTAAAACGTTTCGTGGGATGTTGGTAGAGAACATTGCTTCTGCTGCCACTTTCTAAAACTCGTTCGTGATGAATGCACCGATGCAGCGGGATCTCTTCCACCGTCTGGAATTCCCTAACATTATCTTGATCAAGAAGTACTTTTCCCCGTACAATGTCGGTTTTTGGTCAATCGTCTCACAAGAACGTACGCACAAACAGTGTTTATCACGACAACATAGATTTGGATGAGTCATCGAATGCCAAGGACGATCTTGACACCAGGCACCGTAAGTCCATCGGAAAGTCTAACCAAAGCCAAGATTTTTAGGGCGCATAGGAATGGTTTACAAGCGATCAGCGGGTGAACGGGTTGACCATGTTCCAAGAGCGGATACGCGGCAAAATGAACAAGCAACCCACCGGGCTATGCACCCCCTCTGGTCTGAAGTGGGACTGAGCACGTGGTACCCAGTGGTTGTTTTGAGAACATTGTTGACTCTGAGTTTCGTTCGGTGCCTGACTGCCTGAATGGTAGTTTTAGTTTTCGCGGACCTGCTCTGCGTAAGCACAAACGCCACGGTAAAACAATCCCACGTCTCTAAGTGACTAAGCTGGTCACTTTTGCCCTGTGAATAGGTTTGGACCCAGTGTAAATACACGTAAAACCGTGAGCTAAGGTTAGCTGGAACGGGCATGGGATCATTGCCACACTCTGGCAAGGCAAGACTTTATAGAATTTCATTAACTCCAAGCAGGGCGTAACAAGCCTCTACGTGATCATGCATCTACCCTATGAGGCTGGGTCGCTAGCGGACAAGAAAAGACAGAAATATGAACAAATGAGGATTTGTGTCAGATTGTTCAAAACGGTGAATGAACCCAACTTACACTAAATATAAAACCCGGGCTTTCATCATCCTCTGAATTTTTAAAATTCTGCCCTGACAGGGAACCTCCTCTGGCTAAAAAGTCACCGGTATACATTGAAAGTCCAGTCTTCCAAATTCACCGTGAAAAGGCCTTCCTAAAACTCAAAATCTCTGATAGACAGTAACTTTTGTAAACACCCAATTGCAATTGACAATAACTACAGAGTAAAGTAAAACTTGAAACTAACCTTGATAATGAGCAGTAATCCGATATTTTTTACTACCCAAGTCATAAGTAAAAAGTATGAAAGATCTCAGGAATGGTCAGTTCAGAGTTTACGCCACGATACGACGTGAACCGAATGGAGAATCACTTACACGAGTTAGCGACACACGCTCATTTGCAAACAAATTTGGTTTTGCGAGAGACTCACCTGGAACCAAGCTGAATCTCTAGTTTGTGATGTTTCCAGGCAACTGAATGTGCTTCACCAGGCCAGCTCATATTCCATTTGTTGCGATTTTTGAGATATCGTGATACTTGTATAGACGTCACGCACTACTCATAAGGTTGCTGAAAACTCTTCGACAGCCCACTTACACGAGTTCATTCATGTCTATGAGTACGACACCTGAAATGTTGGCTTCGAGAGCTAACCAGACGTCACGTAAAGCGAAAAATGAATCCAGGCGATTCTCTTTGTGTCATCACAGTGGCCGTTCGACTGTGGAACAGTGAGTTAAGAACCTCGAATTTCAAGTAGACAGGCGTCAGGCAAAATAACCATGTTGATCTAGTTTAAACAGCATTGCTTGTTCAGGCGCGAAGATTCAGGTGCATTCATGGATTAGTAAACGCACGCATTCCACAGTTCAGAGCAGAGCTCCAACCTCGTCAGAGCCAAGGATATCCATCGCTTGTGCCCTCCAACAAGAGCGAAACTCTTTTTTTTGTATGGACTTACCAGAATAATTGCGGCTGGACAGAAGGATGACTGTTCCAACGAGCGCAATGGGAAAGTGAAATCTACAAATCCCGCAAACACCATAACTAAGCCACAAACATGTAGATAGATGAATACTAATGTAACGATGGACGCTACTGATGAGGCATGCGAATAGTGTCTTCCCGTTCACGTCTCTTGAAAAGTGAAGTCTGTTGCAGAATTTGCGGGGGCGCTTTGTAGCATTTGCTTGCATTTGAGTAGCAGTCCATGAACATCCAGGAAAGTTCAGGAAAACGCGTTCAGGCAGAAGATGTATATTCAGTTTTTGTAAACAAGATGCATATGAGAGGTATGCTCCCCTGTTCAATAGTCTGTGGCTGTTTAGTTGATGTTTCTCTAGTTAACAACTCCACAGCAAAGACCTTCTTCCTTTCATGCATGGTACTGGCAAAAAGAGGTAGAAATAAAAATGATAAAATAAATAAATGAACAGAGAGGATCTGTGAACCTATAATAATTTGGGCTGGATCACTTTCTTTGCGAATACAATATTCCCAAAATTGGTGATTCTACTCTAATGGACGATAAGATGAACTCTCACTTCCAACCTGAAAAGCGATTGAAAGAGAAGTTTGGATTGCCATCGTTATGTAACGGGAGAGTAAGATGTTGTGGTATAAACTCGTTTTGACCAATTCAGTAAGGCGACCTTCGAGAAGAATGGCTAGAGTAACTCAGACCTCTTTAGTATCCTTAAGTTAGCTTCAAAGTCTGGCCAGGGAGTGACCACACCTTCAAAATCGAGTTAGAGCCCACGTCTTGTGGGATTTTCAGTTTTGTACAAGACTGGCAATCTAGACACCAGTTGGAAGGGCGTGACGATCACGAAGCATTCGGTTTCACTTTGATAGGTCTTAATCCGCTTTGCCAAGTCCCAAACTCTTGTCAGCTTGAAATGGAAAACAGCACCTTTGGTAGGCAAGTATTGGTTTAGAGATCTGGACTAACACTGACCTAACAGGCATTGGTTGTTGTTGCTGTAGCCATTACGACTTGTCACCCAGTAACGGCTTTAACAACGACAGGTTGCGAGTGAGTTTCAGTTAGCTTACTCGCGCAATACTGTAAGAGTGCCGGTAAGCAGTTGGTGATGTTTCAAGTCAATGTAGATTCAGCTCAGACGTAATGTACTACTCATACTAAAAACTAATGGAAAACCGATGACCGATTTGGCCCTTCTTGGGGATCATCACGTGACCTAGTCCCAGAGTTTCCGTAAACTTTGCATTCTACTTTAACCCAAATTGCACGAAATTAGCGAAATACACTCATTTGAATACCAAGTTGGTTTTGGAGGGGGACTCACCTGGAACCCAGCTGAATATATGGTTTATGATGTTCTTTAGTAAGTGAATGTGCTGCATAAGGCGCTCTTATGTTTCACTTGGTACGATATTCGAGATATCGCGACTGGGTTCACCAATTTTCTACGGCTGTACGATCTCATTTTACAAAGATACGCGTCCTCAAGTGGTGAGTAATATTCCGGTTATAAAATTTCACGACAGACGATGAAGCTAATCATGCCTGTAATTGAATTTAGTTTTTAAGTGGCAACTACTTTAAGGATGATTTTTGGATGATCATGCAAGATTTAATTGGCTATTTTCACCGGTTGGTATAGAGTTTAAGTAGGTCATTGTGTGCTCTTTATGAAGTTGAATGTGAGTGGAGACTACTCGAACAAAATTTAATCAAAGGATGGGCACAAATATGAACCCGGGGAAACTCAATCTAATGAATCAGTGACCTTGAAACCTTGATTGCCGTTTGTTTCCTCCTCTGTATATGCTCTGCGTGAGTAGTAGACACGCCAAGTCAGACAAGAATACGTATTTTTCGTCCCTCATAGAAATAGTTTTCGGATGCTCGCACAATTATTTATGTATTTTTCCAATTCCCCTGGCACAATTCATTAACCCAGAAGACCCAGGAAACCCAGGGGCCTTCATCCCTGCTGATCTCACGTTGATGGGGACTACAGAGTTCGTCTGTCATAGAAGAAGGACCTGAGGAATTAAACCCGTCGAATTGGAGTAAAAGCGTAATATTCTGTAATCTACGTCTGTTAGTAGCAAAATTTAAAAACAACCGGACGGAAGATCCCAAACCAAACGACCTGATCGGTATGGTTACTTCGACGAATAAAACCTGCTTACTGAAATCATTCAACTGAGGAAAGTGATGACACCTGGGTTCTCGCCCTCATACCCTTGCAAACATGGAGTTAGATCTAAGTTTGTCAAGCTACAAGGGTTTACGTAATGAAAAGGTGTCAACTTAGATGTTACAGGAATCAGTGACGTGCAATTCCAGACATGCTGGGGGGTCCGGTCAGGCCGTAAATCAAAATCAAGAGGGTAAGTGAACGTGCATGGTGGTGTTCCCTGATCAGTGAAGGCGTGGTTGAGCTGGTTAAGTCATGGCA